TGAGGAGCTCGGTCACCCGGGAGGAGCTCAGAGTAGAACCGCTGCTCCTCCACATCGAGAGGAGCCAGCTGAGGTGGCTCGGCATTTGTTTCGGATGCCTCCTGGGCGCCTTCCTAGGGAGGTGTTCCGGGCATGTCCCACCGGGAGGAGGCCCCGGGGAAGACCCAGGACACGCTGGAGGGACTATGTCTCTCGGCTGGCCTGGGAACGCTTCTGCATTCCCCCGGAGGAGCTGGAGGAAGTGTCTGGAGAAGAGAGGGAAGTCTGGGCATCTTTGCTTAGACTGCTGCCCCCGCGACCCGGTTCCGGATAAGCAGAGGAAAATGGATGGATGGATGGAAGAAAAAAATACTTCTGTTTGGCAAAGAATTAAGTCAGATTATTCTAATCATTTAAAGGATAAAGTGGCACCAGAATTTATTGAATATATATTTTACAACATTTGGTTAATTCTTCCACCTGTTCAAAGTTTAGATAAAGTGTTTGTACTGGAAGCACCCTCACAAAACACTGCTGTTTTTAGCTGGTTGTCCAGTTCTGATGCTCACATGCACATTGTAGGCGCTTCTGGAGGTGGACAGGGGTCACCATGGGCACTCTGATCGGTCTGCCCAGCCCCATATGCAGCAAGCTGTGATGCACTGCGTTTTCCGACACCTATCATAGTCAGCATTATGTTTTTCAGAAATTGGCACTACAATAGCTTTTCTTTTGGACTGGACCAGAGGGACTAGCTTACGCTCCCCATGTGCACCAATAAGCCTTGGGTGCATACAGTATGACCCTGTCACTAATTAACTGGTTGTCCTTCCCTGGACCACTTATTGACCGCTGTGTACAGGAAACACCCCAGGAGACCTGCCATCCCAGAGATGCTCTGCCCCACTCATCTAGCCATCACAGTTTGGCTCTGGTTAAAATCACTCAGATCCTTACAGGCGCCTATTTTTCCTGCTTCCAACACATCACCTTTGAGAAGTGACTGCTCACTTGGTGCCTATATACCCCACCCATGGACAGATGCCACTGTAACAAGATCATCTATGCTATTCACTTCACTTTATCAGTGTGACTTTATCAGTGTGAGTATTCAGTGTGAGTATTCAGTGTACCGTACTGAAAACCTTGCCAGGGTACAAATGGTTAAAGGCTGGTGCGACCACAGGGCACAACAGCACGTCTATGTTACATCTTCTCCAATATGCGATTGTTTCATGAATGTAGTCCTAATGAAAACACAGACACAAGACCTCATTGTCCCTTTGTATGCTTTCATACATTCACAAGCATCAGTAGCTGAACTAATAGCACCTCAACAGCAGCATGCTGCTTCCACACATCTGCAACAGCTCTGAAAACAAAACAAGAAAGGATCAGTATGTGTTGACATTTTGCCCATAATATGTAATGTGTGATTAGTTATTAAAACCTCAAACACAAACTGCTAAACTTCAAGATTACTTTCTCACCCAACTCCAAGGAGGCTATTGAAAATGTGGGCAATACGAGGAGACTGCAAAAGACAAGCACAACATGAAAGACACATTGTAGCTGTTTTGTTAAATAACTGCCAATGTCACTTTAATTTGCTACTCAGTGTCCTTGAGGAAGAGTTATACATTCTTTATTATATATTTATGCATGTCTATTACAGAGGGATCAAACTCACCAGGCGTTTGAGAAGGAAGGCAATGGTTTTCTTCAACCACTTGGGAAGATAATAAGGGAGAACCTGTTGTCTGACACAGGGGTCCAGAGGGCTTCCCTCCCTAAAACGTAAACAATAAGGATCACTGGCACAAAATGGAACAATGAGATCAAGCGGGATTGTGCTGAGGTTTAATAGAGTTTCAGAACATAGAGAGTTCATACAAACAAAAACGAACATCATAGCACTCTGAGGTTATACTTGGACACAGCAGTGCTTTGAGCTAAATGATTACAATCAGCATACTAACAGGTTCACTGTGACAATAGTAGCATGTTGGTGTTTATAAAGTAACGGTCATAGACATGTATTCTTATATATGTAGAAATGCCTATGGTAATATTTACCCTGCTCACTACATTAGTTTTGCATATTAGCATAACATTTGCTAATCAGCAACAGATACAAAGTGCTGTTAGTTCTGCAGGTATTTAGGTATTTAAAAAAAAAAAAAAAGTATTGGACAAAGTCAAATTTTGACCTGATGATGGTGTTAAATGAAAAGCTAACCTATTACAAACTTTATCACAGTTCATCTTAAGCAGGGAATAAATGTGAGTTCCAAGTATCATGGCGATCCATCAAATGCCATTGAGGAATTTCAGTCTGGACCAAAATAAAGGACCAATTGACAAACTGACAAAATGACACAGCCGGATATTTTGATTATTCATTAATTGCTTATGTCAGTTGTCAAGCAATAACAGGTAATAGTTTCTGTCCACAGCTTGTTTTTTCTCACAGTGAATATTAAATATATTTGGTTTAGTACTGTTGGTTGAACACAACAGGCAATTTGAAGAAGGAAGCTCATCTTCAAAAGATAAAGTATGGTTGTCCAACATTTAAATTGGATGGTTTGGATAACGAGCAACAGTGAATGCACTGCTTAAGTAACTGACATCTTAAAAGAGAGGATTAACTCACAGTTTTTGTAGCAGGGTGGTAATGCCATCTGCAAACAAACCCTTTACAGTCAGTTCGCTGAGAGCATACTCGATCTTCAAGTGACTGTAGGGCACCAGCTATAGGCACAAAAAATACAGAGAAAAATTGGAAACATATGGCTCACATCCCAGATTTCATGAGCCAGCAGATCATATAGTGTGTGAATTAATCTGTGTGTGGCATGGTCTTACAGTGTGGCCTGCTTGCTCTAACAGAGCTTTGACTTCTCTTATGACTCGGGCCATGCTTGGAGACGGTTGTGTGTAGCCGTCGTTTTCTAGGTAACCGATCCTCAGAGGTTTGGAGCTCTGATATACCTGAGGACAAAACAATCTCATTCTCAGATGAGTTGGGAGACATTTGAGCAGATAAGCACAGGCAGATTCATTTTGAGACCTGACTAATAGATATTTGTGAATAAGAGGGTTTAAGTATTTAGTTAGGGCACAATAAAGAAATGGAATGACCATGAGCTGTGGATTTAATTTGTGGGTTTTAACAAGACTGGTTAAGGTCAGTGTGTCTACATAGCCAGTGCTCTGTTCACTGCGAATGGGCCAGAGAAAAGAAAACCAAGTGATCAAGAGTTCAGTCTTTACAGGAAATGCACCAATAATTACATTTTTATCTCCATGCATCCATACAGTTCATAGACATAGCACAAAAGGCAGCCTTCACTCTTCTTGAAGGATTTCCAAAAGGTTTTGGAACCTGGCTACAGGAAATTGCTGGCATTCAGCCACTAGAGCCTTAATGAAGTCAGTTACTGAAGTTGTGCAACAAAGGTCTGGCTTCCAGTCTGCAAACCAGTTCATCCCAAAATGTTTGCTGGGGTTGAGGTTAGGGCTCTGTGTTGCTCAGTAAACCTCTTTCGTACCAAACTTTTGACTTTTCACAATCTGGCTGTTGAAAAGGGCCTTCGCTGAATTATTGCCACAAAGTTGAAAGCCCACCACTGACTACAAATACTGTATCACTGTATGCTTTAACATGACCCTTGGAATAGTAATTTGACACTGGTGAAATACTCCTCTTTCCTTTCTTGCCAAGGGTTATATAAGAAGACTGGGTGCACTCCAAACTCTGACTGGACTGTGCTAGACAGGCAGGGTTTCTGTTTCATTTAAATTCAGCACATAAAATGACACGTCACTTGTTCACAGTTGAAGCCAAGCAAAATCAATAAATAACACGTGGAGTCCAACAGTATGGAGGTCAGTAACCCCTTAGTGGCCAGAACATGTGGGCGCCTTATCCTCAGAGTAGCCCACAGCTTTTGACTATAGATAAGGCATTTGAATATTTAGAAATATCACTCTGAACTTGACAATTCATTCCTTGACCTAAACTGTGTAAAAACCCAAAAACCACACTTGATATTACAGGTTGAAGCAAAGAAATAGCCTGACAAAAAACCTCAGTAAATCAGCAAATTTTCACTTTGTAGAGAACAAACAAATCTGATGTGAATTAGCAAAAATGAACAATGAGTGATGACAAGAATCTTTCAGTAGAGCACACACCTGCACATTAAAGGGTACAGGTGGAACAGTAGGGTCCAGGGAGAACATGTGGTTGCAGAGCAGAGCCTGCATACACAGAGCCAGACTGTCCACGTCTCTTGCCATGGGCCCAGGAGATGCCAGCACTATGTTTATAAGAAACAGCAATGAAATATAGTACCATGTAGCATTGCTAGGCAATGATGATGCAACTCTGCATTTATTGTATGTGCCAGCAGGAAGAATGTTTACTCCTTACCTGACTTTTGCCCTCGATAAACGTGACTCAATCCCCATGAACTTATCAAGACACAAAAAATATAACAAAGTAAAGATGCAAGGTGTCATGACCGGACAATGATTATTATCCATCAAGCTGACTAAAGAAGAGGCACTTACCTTAGCCGCCCTGCTGTTGGCTTGAAGCCACAGATTCCACAGAAGGCAGAAGGGAGACGAATACTACCTGCGATATCACTACCTAAACCAAGCAGAGAGCCTCCCCCACCAATGAGAGCCCCCTCCCCACCGGAGGAACCTCCAGAGGTCTTCTTGGAGTTATGAGGGTTCAAGGTCTGCCCATAAATCGGGTTACCACAGTCATAACTGGAGTTGGGACAATAACAGAGAAACACATAGATAAGCAACGAGCATCATGGCTTTGCCGATCTATAAATCATTTACAGTGTTAGCCTTTATGCAGGTCATATATGCCGTGTTTCCACTAGCAGAACGAGTGGAATATCCAATACTTCCCTTAACCACCACCAAACATAGCTTCCGGGGTTGATGCGGACTGTTTGTTTTTCAACAGCATTTTCTCTCCATCAGTCTGTTTAGAGGAGGAAGGAGCTGCTCCCTTCTCATACACGCAGTCAGCTGTATGGTGCTTATAATGCTAATGCTTGAGGTGTGAAGCAGCCTGATTTTGCAATATGCCAGCTGAGAAATAATCTACCTTAATAGGCCTTGAGGAATGTTGGTTTTCACAAAAGGAATGGCTCCCTGTCTCTTCAGAACCTTAACAAGCACACAGTCTTCCTGGGCAGGCTGGTCCAGATTAATGATCACACCACAGGAAGAGTCATGATTCTTGGGTTGTAAAACAAATAAAGAAAGCAAAGAGTTGAGGAATATTAAAATAGTCATAATAGATTTTCCAAGTTCATTCTTAATTAGAAACCCTGTAAATTTTGGCATCTGGTGATGATTAGGGCACTACATAACCTCAAAATACCTTGTATCCCAGGTTGTCTTTGATGCTAACTGGAACTCCATACAAAAGACCTTCCTTGTTAGAGGCAACAGTTTTTAGCTGATCAAAACTTTCCAGCAAAATCCCTGTGCAGCAGTTCAGCCTTTTCTGTAGATCCAGAGTCTGAGAGAAGAGGAGAAACAAACAGTATATTCAAGTTTCTCTTGCAATTAAAAGTGTATATAATACAAAAAAAATGTTATGGTACAAAAATGTTATTTA